TGTATAACACGATGATAATACTTCTCTTCCTTTCCTTCTTTTTCAGCCGCATTAAGTCATCGGGACGAGAAAGTTCTTCGCGTCTCGAAGAGTCGTTCTTTCGATCTTTTCTGTCCTTTTTTTTTTTTTTTTTTTTTTTTTCCCCTCGAGAAGTTTTCGTCCGCGAGATTAATGGTACCAGCACGCAAGCTTGGCTGTCATCAGTGTTTTGATCGCTCGTAACGTCACAGCAGAGATTCGCAGAGGGAATCATTTCTTTCATTTGCAGTGCGATTAATTACGTGTTTTCGTCACGTGTCGGCAAACGAAATATTCCACCGTTGATCGTCCGCTTTCCATCGGTATTAATTTAACGTGTCGAGCATCGTGTCGCGATTCGAATGACGAAAGCCGTACGCGGAGTGTCGTGGAATTCGAAGCCCTCGAATCGAATATCGATTTTTTGTTAGCTGATTTATTCTGCTTTCCCATACCTTTTTTCCTTCATATTTTTCAATTTAACACACTTTGGCAATTTAACACACTTTGTCGAGTTAAATTGCCAAAAAGAAAAGCCCCGGAGTACGAAGGATTAATGAAATATCGTTTGAATAAGAATTTTATTTCAAATTTTAAGTTAAACTTTATTATTTTCTGTGTAATGCATTTCCTAGCCAAAAAGACACGACTTACACACCGTAATGATCTTGAACTTGAGTTATTAGCGAAGAAGCAGCCGTGAAGATGAGATAAACAAAAAAAATAATTCCGCTTCTGAGAGATCGTCTTTAAAATAATTCCATTCGTCTCGAATAGGTTGAGAAAAAAAAAAAAAAAAAAAAACTCAGCAACGGAGAATAATTATCGGCTATTCGAATTTCAAGTGACCACACCACCGTATCGTCTGCCGCATTCGCGATCAATTAATGAGAACTCGATCGTGGAGTCGGTGTCGTTTAACGGAAATAGCAGCGAGCAGCGGTGTTGTTTCTGGCGCGATACGCATCGTCGATGTTAGCGGCGGTAGAGCGCTGGGTTCACGAAGCAGGAACGCGCGGATGACTCAAGCCCCGGCTGGATTTGCTCGCACGGCATGAATCGTTGCGCTCGTTAGGACGGTCCGGAGTTCGCGCGATACATCCGTGCCCGGTTGCGAAACACACACGGGCAAATTGGTGCACGTTTAAAAAGCGTGACGCTCGCAGGCAGACAAGAGAGCCCGCCGAGGCTCGAAGAGTGTCGACTCTCGGCAAACTCACGACTCGCACCATCGCCAACGCCAGCCGACCGTGATCGATAAAACGAGCACGGTTTTCCTTTGTGCAACACGGAGGTCGGATTTATTTATCGCCTTGGAATTAACAAGTCCTCGCGATTTTTGGCAGATTTGATTTTGAAATTAATATACAAAACTCATTACGAGAAGTATATTTATTACAAATAGGTTCAGCTTTCTCATTTCTAATATTTTCTCCCCACTCTCGACTAGCAATGAAATATCTTTCATCAGCCTGCAACACACTTAAGGATTTAACACTAGAACTACCGACAGTTGAGACGTAGCTATCTCTACCAAAACCAGTCAATTTTACTGATACTGGTATAAGTAGCCATGATATAAAATTACTTTTATTTTAAATGAATAAAACCAAATTAAAGTTCATTATATTAATCCTTTAGCTATCCCTGCAAAAGTCATTACGTCACTGCGAAGAAAAAATGTAACATGAAGTAGGAATTTTAAAATAAAGTTGTCAAACCAGTCAAAATGACTGGTGTGGTAGTTCTAGTGTTAATACATCGAGCAACTGAGCGTCACAAGAAATATAATAAAATACGTACAAGCGTAATAAAATGTGCCGTGTTCCGCCCACGATTGAGTCGCATTATCTCGCGACAAGTTCAAGGTTGAATTTCAAACCGAACCTGGCCAGGCTCCTCTGCGATAAAACCTATAAATGTAACCCGAGTGGAATCACCGTGTGTTTAAAAAGTGTTCGATCGTGCGCTAATAATACGACTGTTGTCGTCGATAGTATTGGATCACCGATGATTCGGAGAACGCGAAACGGGGAAGAGTAGGGTCAAACGTGTTCGTCGGAGGAACAAAAAGCAGATTGAGCGTCGCTAGTTAAAAGTCGAGGAAGAGAAAGTCAACGAACGAATGGCAGCCAGTCGCTGATTGAGCCTGAATGCCGGTGTTCTGGCTTTTATTATAAGCGCAATCGTTCAGATTCGGTCTGTAACTCTCCCCCTTCTCTCACTCTCTCTCTCTCTCTTTCCCTTTCCTTTCTCTGTCGACTCTGACTCGCGCTTTTAACGAGCGTTTTATGAGCTTTTGTGTTTTCTCTCTCTCTCTCTCTCTCTCTCTCTCTCTCTCTTTCTCTAGCCTTGCACCTTTTGTCTGTCGGGAATGCGATACGCGAACAAAACGCGGGCGCAATCTCGGCCTGATACGCGCTCTCCAGGTCAGACGCGTTCCATCCGATCAACAGAGTATTACGGGACGATCGTCGATCCTCGTGCAATTCTCATGTTCCTCTTTTTCGGATTTTCGAGTAGTAGCTTTCTCGCTATTGGACGACACACGGTGGATAATTTGCTGTTTGCCAGATACGATTGTCTCTCTCTTTTTTTTTTCTTTTTCTTTTTGAGCGACACGCAGTCGTGTTCTGTCGATTGCAGGAATACACAATCTGTGAGTCACATCCGGGCGAAAATCGTCATACGTCTGACGTACAATATCCTGTAACGAAGTCGTTCTCTTCGATAGAATCTTGCTCGTTATAGCATTCGTTAATTACGTTACGTCCTCGGTGATTATATATAGAAACTTCTGTATGCACGTTGAACTCGTAATGTAGGAATGAGGAATTATTGATAATGGAACTGTAGTCACACAGGGGTCAGTGAACTCGAGAGTGAATTGAATTATCCGCTCGTTAATAGATTCACATAAATGGAGCTCTGGCTGTAGTCGCGCGGAAAGTGTCAACCGGTAGTCGACGAAATTTGCTTAAAATATAGAAAATCTATCAATAACTACGTAACTCACAGAGGGAGGGCATTATATAAACTAGCTGCTGGAAATAATAAAGTTGTCATGCGTGTATCAGAATTCTACGAAAAAAGAAAGAAATATGAGGAAGAAAAAAAGAATGAAATTGCAAGGTTACAATGAACATGGAACGCAGAATGCATGCAAGGAATATTAACTGACGCATCAAACGATGACGTATGAAAGGCACCGTGCAAACAGAACACGTGAGTTGACATTTGCTCGCAGCATCGGTTAGCATCGTAAATCTTTTTCTAGTATTAGATTATAATTAGATTCTCTTTTTGTCTGAAGCTGCTTCAAAAAATTTCCTTCCTCTCTCTCTTTTTCTCTGTTTCTTTCTATGTACATGAACGATCATTAATTCTGATTGTCCAGTTCATCGTCATTAATGAATTTCATCGTCTCAGTGGTTTGATCTTGACACAGTTTTCCTTCAGACTGTATGTAGGAAAAATACTGGTGTCGGACAGCCGTTTCTATTTACGATCGTGGATAAATAATTGATTCAATATTTTTATGGATCTGCAGAGAATATCATACCAGTGCCAGAATGCACAGAATGCAGATATACGTGTGAAATATTCCAAACTCTATAATATTCTTCGTAATGTTTGATAAAAAAAAAAAGTAGGTTTCAATTTCTTTTTTTTTCTTTTCTTAATCATTTTTATAAACATACTGCAGATTTTTATAGATTGATTAAAATAAATGAAACTTGGATAAAAAGATATTTTATACATTCTTGCAACTTCAAATTTTCCACGATCTCGATAATACGTACGGAACAAAAAAAATCAGGCAGGAATCTTGGATTTCTTACGAGATTATAAGTTTGTATTATACAAGTGGAAGTCTCGATCGTGCAGATCGTTTTCAATCGGCTTCGCAAGATCCTCGCGATATAATGCCACTCGCCAGTTAGATCACGAACACACGCTTGTGCAAATACGTTAATGAAAGAATTATTTCTTATGCCGCGAGCGGAATGCGGTTTTGCCAGTGTCTTTTAAAGTCTAAAGGTATAAGTTCCGTGTGATTCATGCGTCACAACTGCACTTGATGATAATGAAAATTGATAAACGTTCTGGGAAAATTATATCGGACGTGTTTGATTAATTGCTTCTAAAGTTAAATTTACGAATTTTGGATTTAATTGATTTTTTAATCGCTCATCTGCATCTCACGGAGAGCATAGAACGCTTTATATAATTGGGCATAAATTAGTGTTGAAACTTTTGGGGGCCACGACAATTTAGGGTCAACTTGCTTAATTCCGAAATTTCTATTTTAATTGACTTTTGTTATTAATCTCTGTCACAGTGCTGCGAGTCAAAATATAATTAATAATATTGAATAATTGTGTATTACCTCGTTAAAATTTGAAATCGACAACACGAACATCTTCTACGCATCGGAAACGATGAAACATACATTTCCATGAACGCAACTAATTTCTCCGCAAACGAAATAAATACACTCGGGCTAAGAATCGTGTATCATCAGGAAAGTTGCTGAAGCGAGAGTACTACCGCAATGTGTGCTTTCTCCTCGGATGTCGAATGCGTTCTTCGCGCGGGCGCCAATGTGACGACGGACGCGAAAATAGAAGTTGGAGTAATATCGCGTATCGAGCTCTCTCTCTCGGCGAGACCGGCAAACACGCGGAGTGTGTGACGTGTAACGAGAAGGGAACCACCGAACACGAAAGACCGGTAGTGACTAGGCATCGAGTGCAATATAATACACGCGGAGAAGCGTGCTCCCATCTTTCTATAGCGCGCGTCGAATTTTGAAAGTCACGGTTCGTGAGATGGAAAACCTACGAAAGTGCATGCAACAACATTCGTATTCGAATGTGCAACGATGGTCCAATGAATCGAGTCTAGGTGCTCGATCGTCCCACCTCTGACGACAATGGATCGACAAGCGACAAATTGATTGGCAGTATTTATTGAAGTAGGTATCTTATGCTCCGCAGAGGAACATGCAGTCGACCTCGATGGCGTGGAACACGTTCATCCCGCTGCCACCGCCAGGAAGCAGGACGCACGCGGCGCCGCATTCCGGGATGACGGCGCATGTAGGCCATCATCATCCGGGGCCAGGTGCGGCAGCGGCGCATCCAGTCACCGTGGCACAGCAACAGCAACGCGAGCGCGAGGAGAGAGAACGGGAGGCGAGGGAACGGGACGCGAGGGAACAACGACAACGTGAAACCGAGAACTTGGGGATAAGGGAACACCTGGCCGCAGCCGAGAGACTGCACCGGCAGGCCGAGGCCAGGGATCACGTCGCGGCGCAGCAGAGAGCCGCTTATTATGCAGCGACCGCGCCTCCGACTCAACAGGTACGTTTACCACCGTATGTGTCTGTGATGTCGTAACACGCACGCAACGATCGAAAGAGAACTAGCGCGCGTTCACGACCTGATATTTGACGATTTAACCGTCAACGTGCCTGATTCTCGCGTCCCCCTTTCTTGCAGCGATATCGCCAGCGCGCGTTAATGCCAGTGGTTTTGTGTTTGACACAGGTGTCTCGGCCGTCGAGCGTACCTGGCAAAGTCGATTACCCACCACCACCGGCGCACTCGAGGACCTCGAAGTCGTCGCTTCCCGTCAGTAGTCTTCACGAGAAACCGCCGCCGGTGGTAGGACCGTCGCACAGTTCTCTGCCAAAGGTGGAGCCGAACGTCGGTCTGTTCAGTTACTCGACGTACCAGCCACAGTCGTCGTACATGCACGATATAAAGGTGAAGAGCGACGTGGGGCAGCCGCACAAATCGCTACCGAGTAAAAGTGGCCTGGCCGGAGGTCTCGAGCGGGATCATCACGGTCGAGAGGTTCTGCAAAATCCACCTTCGTTGCTGCCGGATCACAAGAGCTCGGTCATAGTGAAGAACGAGGGTCGGGAGCTTCCGAAAGCGCCGACGTCGCAGCAGCACTCGCCGAGCCCGAAGATCATACCGTATTTGGGCGTGCCGCAGTCGGTGCCGCCGCAGCACAAGCCGTACGAGTATCGGAGCCCGACGCAGAGTCCGCACCATCTTCATCACTTGGACGGGCTACAGGCGACGAAGAGCATACCCCAGAGCCATCACCGGAGCAGTAGCGGGTCCACGACCACGACGCAGTTACCCAGTCCGCACGGGCATCCGCCGCATTCGCACAATCGACAGTCACCGCACGCTCAGCATCCTCATCAACCACCGCATCCATCGCCACCCGAACCGCGTTATCTCACTAGGCCGGAACCCGGTCTACCTTACGCTACTGCCAAGTCCTCGTATCCGTATCCGCATCCGCATCCGCCCACGGCCTCGCCGACCTCGCACTACGCCGCGCCGCCGGCAGGCTCCAAGCCGAAAGTCAGCAGTCCAGCGCCGCCTCACATCTACGGGAAACCGAATTCCGGCATCATGACCGGAACGCCGGTCTGCAGAGCGTCCGAGCCGGCGGTCGCCGCCCCGATACCTCTCACCTCGAAGGCCGGTAGCTCGCCTTACCAGCAAGTGCCTCACCATCACGGGGCGCCGCCTCCACCTCTGCCGCCGCCCGCGCACAGTCGATCCGTCTACGACCCCAGGGGTTATACTGGCTCGATGCCGGCCGCCAAGTTGCCGCCGCCGCCCCTTCACGGTTCACCGCCGACCGCGGCTTCGGCGCCCCTGTCCAGACCGATCGCGCACCCGGCGCATCATACCAGTCCTCATCAGCAACCCGGTCAAACGGTGCAACACGCGCAACCGCAGATCAACACATCTTTCCAAACGCAGCCCCTCGATCTCGGTGTGGAGAGAACAGGCTCGCCGAAGAGGAAGGCCCCGACCCCGTCGTTAACCGAGAATTCCGGCCAACCGGTCTCCCTGGAGGTGTGCAAGAAACGCAGGACCGAGGAGCCGCAACCATTGTCGTTGCAATGCGTCGGACCGCCGATTCTCTCGAGAGTGAGCGAGCCAAGCCCGTTGATCGCCTCGGCAGCCACCTCGATAACCACCGTGGTCAACACCACGGTCGCTCTACTGGCCCAATCCAACGCTCAGACGACGCAGGAACGCACCGTGACGGCGGTCAGTCCAACGCCACGAACTGCTAGCGGCGATGGTTCCGTCAGACCGGCCAGCACCGGCAGCGTCAGCTCGTTGAATCCGACGGTGAGCGCGGCGCCAAGCCCCGCGCCCATTCCCAGTCCAGCGCCGTCCACGGCGCCCAGTCCGGCACCTAGTGCCCCTGGCACGCCCGCCAAGGCGAACCCCAGCACGGTGGACAGCGAGAAATCTAACAGTCCCGCGCCCAGACCACCCAGCAGTACCAGTTACCCCGTTCACAAGCTGAAGAAGGCTTGGCTTCAGAGGCATTCCGGCGAAGATGGGACCGAAGACACCACTGGCGTCGTAGGCAGCGGTACTTGCGTCACATTGCCAATGAACATTTCCCAGGCACCGTCGCAGTCGCTAAATAACAAAGAACGTGACACCTCTTCGAACGTCTCTGGCAACACGACTACCACGTGTTTGCCCAGCGCCGTCAACTCTATTCACAATATCGGCAGCATGGCGGTGAACAGCATCAACAAGAGCAAGGTCACTGCCAAAAGTAGCCGGAAATCGGCGAACAAAGAATCGCTGAACGGACACGCCACCGACACGAAAACGTTACAAGAAGACTCGTCCAGCAGCGACCCAGAGAGGAAGTCGCCGCCGAAAAGAAAGCCACCCAAGGTATCTATATGGATCGTATCTATCTCGTTAAATCCCTCCAGTCGAATCGTATCGCTCGTTTCGTTGTAGTGTGTGACTCATCGTAGCATCTTTTACATTATTATTCTTGCATGCCTCTCTGAAATAGATGGTGTGTTTCGAACACGATCGTCACGTCTTTTCTTTTATTCATGCCTGTCGCTCTTTTTCTGTTTGTACATAGGTTCTCGATATATATCACGAGTAACGGTGTTTGATCGTTATTGCGTAATTAGTTGAAGCATGTATTATGTACTGCGAGACTACTACATTCGGTACAAAGTGTTCTGGTAACAGTGTTTCACGTTCGAACTTCCCGCCGCGTGCGCCGCCATCTTGACAACACTACCGCTAACACGAGCCACAAGTAGAAAGTGAAGTGGCCTCGAACGGTACGTTTAATGTATTTTCGCGCAAGTTTCTCGCATTTCGGCACGGATATATGTGTCGTACGAACAACTATCGATCGTGGGACATGCACATGTACCAGTGGATAAAAATGGTAAAGCGTGAAATGGGTTACGTTCGACATATATTCGCGAGCAAGGAGATCTAACCTCCAAACTCGAGATTGTTTAGATATTCTCTCACACTTGTGCGACATTCGATAATTCAATGACGAATTACCCCGTTATTCGTAAAACAGAAGCAAAAATATTAATTGTTGGCTGTTAGCTTTTTCTTCTTTTCTTTAAATCAGACCATCAATTTGATATTATCCGAATAGATTGCATGCTGCGCATTCGATGCGACAAATTGATGTGCTTGCGGTAGGAAGCCATATATAGTAGAAATGAATGGCATAGAGAACCATGTGCGTTCCAAGTTCTTCGTAGTTCTCCTCCTTTTCTTTCCTTTCTTCTTCTTTTTTTTTTTTTTTTGTCAGTAGTTTCGGCAAGAGCATGAACTTCCTGACTACTTAATAATCTGTGCCCTGTGGTAGGTAAAACGAAAGAAGGGCGCAGCACGGAGGCAGCAAACGACTGCGGAAGATCAGCGGAGGCGGAAAGAAGATAAACAAGGCGGAGGAACCGGCGTAGGCAGCGAGTCTAGTAACGAGAGCGAGGCTGGCTCTGCCAGCGACACCAGCGAACAGTTGGGCTCCATCCAACCCGCGTCGAGGGTGCGGCATACCACGGCTAATTCCAACAATTCCTCGGGAAACGGTTAGTTGACGTAGCTTCTTGTAAATGGACTTCCCATCAGGTGAACTAACTATTCGCTTGCAGGGTAAGTGATCCATGTTCCATGGTCATACACTTACTCCACCTCGGTGTAGAGCTGTGCGAGAGCTTGAGGAATTCAGGAATAAATCTTCTCAAAGTATTTGACTTTCATTGGGTTTTGTTAAATTCTAGGGTCTAGATGAAAGAAGGAATAACAAAGGAAAATATAAGGTGCAATTGTTTGAAGTTTCTTTTGGTAGTTGCAGTGCAAATTCAATGGAATTAGACAGAGGTTTTCTTTATGGGTTAACCTCAAAAAGGGTTTTACTCGTTCGGTTCTTTCTTAAAGAAACTTCCTGATACTCTTTAGGTTCGCCAAGCTCTTTTGGAACCTTTGTTATCCTGTTTCGCACACTTACCCTGTTTTGGTATGAAACCATATATTCTTGAAAATATGATGATAAATTAAAAAGATTGATATGCACATCCGTGAAATGCAAATAACACAATGAGCTTTTTAACTCTGAATTAAATTGTTTGTGCCATAAGTGACCAGATAAAATGTTCGTTGTTACTTAAATGGATTGTATCATTTGTTCAAAAGGAAACAACAAGGAGCCCAGAAAACGGGGTAGGAGACCAAAGACTACGAAAGGTAACGAATTGGGCGGGGAAGATCAGCAACCTCGTCAGAAGAAAGAACGTAGAGACGATAGCGCCAGTGGTGGTAACAATGGGCCAGGTGGAAGCGGTGGCAGGGGTGATCCCTTTCGTAGACCCCCGATATCGCAATTGAAAAAAACTGGCGACAGTTGGTTGCAAGACGGCGCTTGTTTCGAAGTAGCTCCGAAGTTGGCTAAATGTCGTGAGTGCAGATGGACACCGCACCAGCGTTCCAAAAATCTTCCTCAAAATATTTTCTGCAGATTTTATGCATTCCGTAGATTACGGTATACGAAAAACGGACAGTTGGCTATAGCAGGATTTAGCGACCCCCATAAGGATGCGTCTGAGGTAAATATCACGAATTTTCACTAGAAATATCAGAAATCACAAAAATATATTTAATATACATTATTTAAATTACAAGATTATTTCATTGAAAACTTCTTTCCTATACTTTTGTACTTTTAACATTTTATTTAATATTGTAATAATTGGAGTAATTATAATGTCGCGTGTTTGCAACAACAATAACCATTTTGTTTCCTGTGTTACAGGTAGATCTCCGATTATGGTTACCAGGAAAAGAGAGTTCGGACTCGAAGAAGGACGAGAAGGCAGATAAGAACGACAAAGAAAAAAGCGACAAAGAAGATCTAGATTTGGAAATGGCTCACAGGCTACTTCGCCAAGTCGGAGATCAGTTCTGTGATCTATTGCATCAAGAAAAGGACGCTCTTCAACAGCACATGGCAGAAGGTAAGTTTTTTTTGATATTGAACTCGACACTTTGGTAACTTGGATGTATTCCAAAATACGAAATGTAAACTTTATATCAATGTTTATATATACTTTATGCATGTTTCATATTGTCGATGTTACTTCTATAAGATATTATTTTAAGAACAAAATTTTTAAAGAAGAAATGGAGTGTAGCATGAAATTTGATTAGCGTTCCTTTTCATTTTTACCAATTATGTATGTACCTACAAATTTTTCGTAAGCATGCAGTTACATGTAAGCAAAGTTGCTTCGGATATTTCCTTTGTTCGCATGATTTAACGCTTTGCGTATCGATTGTTTCTTCACCTTGACAGCAAGTTCGGGACTTGTAGACGGAACAGTCGCCTGGAAGAGAGTGGTGCAAGGCGTTCGCGAGATGTGCGATGTCTGTGAGACGACCTTATTCAACTATCACTGGGCTTGCGGCAAATGTGGCTTCGTCGTGTGTATCGATTGTTACAAGGTAAATAAGATGATGAAGATGATTGTCTTCATGAATTTCACTCACAAAATATGATGACAAATAACTCTTTTTGAAGAAATACATGTGATATCAATAAAATATTGAGCTTTTTAACACTGAAGCGTATATAAAACGTTACATTAGGCATCTGAATTTTTTCTTCAACGGTAGTCTTACAAATCATAAAAAAAACATTTATTAGGGACGCAAGAATGGCACGATCAAGATCTGGGGAGAGAGCGGCAAGGACAGAGACGATTTTTCGTGGCTTTTGTGCACAAATAGGCAGGTGCACGAACCCGAACGACTTATGCTCACGCAGATCATCGCCGGTGACAGCCTGATACGTCTCGGCCAACGACTGCACGAATGCCGCGCAGAATGGGGCATACCGCAACACTGTGGCTGCTCGCTCGTTGTCCAAGCATCGCCAAACGAGTATCTACGGAACATGATCAAAGGCGACTCGGTACCAGTTCTGAACGGCAACGTGAAGCAGGAAGTGAAAGAGGAGAAGAAAGTGAACGAGTCGAACGGATCGTCGGAGAACAAAACAAACGGCGAGGACAAGAATTCACCATTGAACTGGCTGGCAGACGTGGCGTTGCAGAATCAGGATAAAAACGAGAGTGGCTCTAGCTCGGATTCCGATGAGGATCGGGATGGTAATTACTCGACCTTGAGGGAGTTGCTCATCCGACCGTCCCATAAGTCGAACGGTAGCGGTTCTAGATCGAATTCACCGACGAACAACTCCGGTAACGTCAACGCTACCGCCGGGAACAACGCGCAGAACAATGTCACGAAATCTGGTAAAAAGTCGAAGATGGATACGTTGGACGAGGTTATATCGAGCGTAATCGAGCACAGCGTGAAGAAGGAGAGGGAAGGTGAACTGGACGACGAGAAGCCGAGAGAACTGAAGCATTTCGTCAGAAGATACAAATGGACGCAGAAGGGGCGAGAACCGTTGCCCATTCGAATTATGACGCTCACGGAGAGTAAAAGTCTCTATCCGGATGTGCCACACTCGTGGCTCTGTGACGGGAAATTGCTCAGGTTAAACGACCCGAACAATCCTAACAATTACAGAATATTTCAAGATCAGTGGAAACGCGGTCAGCCGGTCATCGTGTCGGATGTTGCGAAGTCGTTGGACATGAATCTGTGGCATCCGGACTCGTTCGCTCGAGACTTCGGCGATGAGAAGAACGACTTGATCAACTGCATGACCGGGAACTTGGTGCCGAATCAACCGATGCGTAAATTCTGGGAAGGATTCGAACATTTCTCCAAGAGACTGAAGGACGAGAGAGGAAATCCCATGCTGTTGAAACTGAAGGACTGGCCGCCCGGTGAAGATTTCGCAGAATTATTGCCATCGAGGTTCGCGGATCTGATGAAAGTTTTGCCGTTGTCGGAATACACTCACCGGAACGGAAGATTGAATTTGGCCAGTCGTTTGCCGGACTGTTTCGTGAGACCAGATTTGGGACCCAAGATGTACAATGCTTATGGATCGGCCCTTCATCCTAACAAGGGAACAACTAATCTTCATCTAGATATTTCTGACGCAGTGAACGTCATGGTTTACGTGGGAATACCGAAGGACGCCGACAATGACGAACACGTTAAAGGTATTTGTTGTTACTGTATTTTCTTTATGACCCATAGTAAAGTTACTTTTCGAAAAATTCACAATTGTTGATTGCATCAACATTGCAGAAGCACTGCGGGCGATAGATGAAGCCGGCTGTGACATCCTGACACGCCGACGTGTACGCGAACGCGGAGAAGCACCGGGCGCGTTGTGGCATATCTATGCAGCGCGAGATGCCGATAAAATCAGGGATCTCTTGAACGCAGTTGCTTTGGAACGCGGTGCCCGTTTGGAACCGCATCACGATCCAATTCACGATCAAAGCTGTTACCTCGATGGACCTCTGCGAGAACGATTGTATCGCGAATACGGCGTTGAAGGGTAAGCATTGCAAATCATTTGCTGATTTCACCTCATTCGTGTCTGTTTAGAGGACCTCTGCGAAAACAAGGACTTGTCTCTCCTGTTACAGATATGCTATCGTTCAGTGTCTAGGCGATGCAGTATTCGTGCCAGCTGGCGCGCCGCATCAAGTCCGCAACCTTCACAATTGTATAAAGGTGGCGGAAGATTTCGTATCTCCAGAGAACGTGTCGCATTGCTTCCACCTAACGCAAGAGTTCCGTGCGCTATCCGACACGCACACGAACCACGAGGACAAGTTGCAAATTAAAAATATAATCTATCACGCGGTGAAGGATTCGCTGGCCGTGTTGAGCAACGTGAAGGAAGAGACTCTTGCCAAGGTGAAGCCGAATAACGAGATGAAGAAGGAGGAGACGTAGCCCTAGGCCCCCTGTCGCGGTCGCAAGAGCCGTTGGTCGTTGTTTGACTAAAGTCTCGCTGTACCAGTGAGTGTGCAAATCTGTTATCCGGTCCGTGTATCGGTCCCTCGAATAGCATACGTCCCGGGATCCGGTTCGAGACGACAGGATTCATTCTAAGATGCTCCGGAAACAAAAAAGAAAAAAAAAACAAAAAAAAAGAAAGAAAGAAACCTGTATCGAGGTGCAAGAATTTGTTGTGATATTTAATGAGTAACTCAAGTTTGATTTTTTCGATATTGGCTGAGCCAATGAGATTATTCGTTGTTTCATTTGAATTTCCTTTTTACGCATACTTTTTCCTTTCTCTCGAGCTACGTGCTCGCGGACATGAAGCCCGCGGGTTTTTTCTTTTCATTGAGGTTTCATGGAGTCGGTGACGCGAAACCCTTGCGCGTCCGTTATCATTGTGATACCAGGAGGAGGACTTTGGATCATACATTATTTGTAATTACTTATATCGTGCCTGTATTCAATACATACTGTCTATATTATATAAATGTAGATAATGGATTACTGTGTAATGAATTCTTACTAGCAACTACGGAGGGAAAAAAAAAAGGATCGTCTAGAGGTACCTTTGTGCAATTAGATGTCGATTAAATTTGTTAGCTGGATCAGTGATATATTTGTCGATCCGCGTTATGTGCTCTCGTGATCTGGTGCTTTTCGGTATCGATTTAACGGAAGCAAAAAGAAAAAAAAAA